TGATATATTTATGAAATCTGAACAACAGTGGGCATCTGGATAGCTTGGAGACATGACAGAAGCAGGTGTAAACGCAGATGTGTTCTAGCTGACGTAAACACCCATGATGCATTTAAATCCAACTGTTAAAGGGTGTGGGTGGCTTTTAATTATTGTGAACACAATTTGATAGTCAAGTTCCTGCTTATTTGTTTTCTTTGAATTTCACTGGTGTATGAAAAAACCAAAGAAAACCAAACTGATTCATGAAATTTGGGCTCCCACTCCACCCTCAGGATAAAGTGTGTGTTTTACACAGAGGTTATCCTTTTTTCTGTTTTTTTTTTTTCTTGGGGTGAGCTTTGCAGAGCATCTGTATCACCCTCCAGGGCAAAATCTTTTTTTTTTGCATCACTACTGTTAACACTCTAAAGTTTATTCCACTAACCCTCTCTCCTATAATAAAGTGAACATTTCAGTTAATATATATTGATTGCTAGCTGGGCTTATCATTGTTTTTTTTTGTTTTAAATAGACTAAATTTAAATTAGACTAAAGCAGAATCCCTGGCAAAGAAACCAGGTGCTTTGCTTTAGCTGATTTAAGCTGAGCGGTTCGAGTTGTTAAACCCTTTTCTGCAGGTAAAAAGCAAACACGCAAATCATAGAAGGTATTTGCAAAGATATGAAGATGTCGGTGTGTGACGAGATATGAACAAATAAGGGCTGGCGTGTTTACAGTATGTGTGGGTGGGTTTGTACACCATGCTGCGTTATAGATAACACACCTCACCTGTTTTAAATGCAGAGCCACACATGCATTCTTGTAATGAGGTTTTAATGTGAGTACACAGTGTGCCGGAGGAGCAAGCAGCAAACAGCAGGAGAACTGTTTCTTCTCCAATCCTCAGCGACAGGAAAGGCAGCAATCAAGAGACGGGAGTCGCTCTGAAAGGTCAAAATATGCATTTGTGCGGCACTTCTTATCTCCGTTAGTTAAAAAAGAAACACACACACACACAGATGACTCATTCACACAGCTCTAGTGACCAGCTGACACAGCGCACACACTGTCACGGCGGGTGCAAATGTCAGTAGCAGGAAGTCACATCTCATTTAGCGAAAAAGAGCTGCACATTGGACAATCGATCATGGCAGTAATTGCGTAACACTGCCCAGAGATGCTACCATACGGGATTTAATTAGCCTAAGCAGAAAAACTTACATCTAACAATCTTTGGACTAAGAATGTGCTTTTTGTGCCTAAACGATGCACTGAAATAATTAGAGAAAAAAATGTTACACTCACGCATTTTTGCTTGCTTTTTAAACGGTTGCAGAAATAGCCCAAAGAGAGGTTAATGCAGCTGTTGAAGTGTTTTCACCAACCTTTTAGATTCTAGTAAAATTAATATTTGGAAGTATGATCTGCTCTTTGGTGGCATAGTCACCAATAAAGGCACACATTCCTAGTAATAATGTCAGGATTTCTGTCCTGTTTGGCTGGTCAGTTGAGGTATTCTGTGTGCAATAAAAAGAAAAAATAAAGTCTGGGTAATAGCTAGGATTTATCTCAAATAAATACATTTCCATTTAATTAACAAGCCCGAATGTAAACTCCCATTTCGCAGTTCTGCTTTCAAATCAGCAAACTTGTTTGTTTACACAGACTCAGACAACTTTTTATCAAAAGCCTCTCTAAAATGAAAATGTGTTCCAATGCCTAATGCTGAGATTGCTGTGCAGAAGTAATCACATACATTATGACTCACTGGAAGCAGAGGAACTCATTGCTCATTGGCTAAAACCGTTTACAGCAGTCTCACATTAATATCTCTGTTAGGGAGGGCAGGAATTTCACAGCGTGCAAAGTCATTTGACACAAAATTGTCTATGGAGGCTATCCACCGGGGCTGATCAGCTTCATTATTGCAGAGTCAATTTTTCTTTGTGTTTTGTGTGTGTTTCAAATCTAATCCTGAGTTCTAAATGAATTTTAATAAGACAGCCACAGAAATGCATGCTTTTTGATTTGCTGGCACAGTTTAAAATTCAAATGAAGCTTAAAAGATAAAAGTTAACATTGTTAAATATAATAAAATATAAAATACAAACAGATCGGGATTGCTCGTGGTGATATGGCCATAAGCGTACTATCGTGAGTGAATTCACAGATGTACATAATGGTTGTCTGTCACCCCCATGACATCCTTTTTTTGAACCTGACTGCATTTCTTTGCTTAGTTTAAATGTTGTCCCTGTGCTAGTGTGGCTTTTCTCCAGATACTCTGGCTTCCTCCCACAGTCTGAAAATGTGCATGTTGGGTTAACTGGATTGACATAATGTGAGTGTGAATGTTTATCTGCCTCTCTGTGTTGGACCTGTGCTAGACTGTTGACCAGTTCAGTGAGTACACTCCATTTAGAAGACATGAAAATAAAAACGCTCGCTTGTCTGCAGTTAAACATGAAGCCAAAGGAAATCAGAATATTTGAACAGAAATAACCCCCATGCTCCACCCATAGACATGGATATGGGACCACAAAGGCAAAAAGGCCATTTCTGGGAAGTCCACGGAAGAGAAAAATGACGACAGATAGAGTGAAGCTGTGTGATCATCTATAATCCTTACAACACAACACAATGTACACACACATAAGCAGATAGAAATTACATTAGCATTCGTTTTCAGCGATGTCTCATCATTTTCCATCACGTGATTTTTGTCCAATTAAAAAAAACAACATGTTTCTGCTTGTGGGAGTGAGGGACAACGATGGGGAGGACAGAGGACGATATTTTGCCACAGTTGTTTTTGAATCCTGTTCAGTTACACTAATGAGGTCTGGGGATATTGTGCGGTGTCAAATGCATCAATTGGAGAGGAGCTTGTTTAATATATATGCTGCCATACCACCCGACACTTAGTTTAGCTCAAGAAATGTTATCAGCCTATTTGTTTAGTTTTTTTTTTGTAGGAAAGACTATTTAATGCACTAATCCCTGATATTTTCTTTGGTTAATGCATTATTGACTATGGCTACATGATGGACTTCCTGAGAAAATTACGAGATACTGGTGAGCCTGAAAGACTCTGCTATACTAGACCTGAGAGGAAACCCAGTGTCCTGAGGATATGCATTAAACTTTGAGCATGCATGAATGTCCTTACATGAATATGACCTAAGGGTGCTATTAACATTCATCTTCTGAAGCATTTCCTCCCTGCTCTATCACAGCAAGTCTTGTCAGGCTGCTCTTTCACTCAATCCATCATCAAGATCACCGGCGCAGAACAAAATCAAGCTTCACTTTTCATCTTTTAATAGCTTTTGCATGTAAGAACTCCATGCAGCTTGGTGTCATTTATTACCTAAACAAGATGCATTTAAATCTGAAGTTTTTCTGGTTGTGTTTCAGGTGGATGTACTGAAGGCAGACATGGAGAGTGCAGAATGGAAGATTTTGGAAAATTTGATCCTCGAAAGAGTTCTGGATTCAGTGGGACAGCTGCTGCTGGAGCTTCACCTGCACTGGGCAGGCTTTGAGGTGGGTGGCGATGAGCCATCTGTGGTGCGGTACTGGTACAGCCTGCTGAAGGAGCTTGAGCGCTCCGGCTTCCACCTCTTCCACATCCACAGCGATCCTGCCAAACCTCACATTTTTCTACAGAAGAATGTGCTTAATGCCAGCAGTGCTTACACCTTGAGCTGGGTGAATACTCAGTGGAGGCCTCTAGGGAAACCAGATAGAACTCAAAAATAACTTTTTACCGTCGCTGATAACTGGAAATCTGAATGTGTAACATGGACTTTCTGGGGCACAGCTCTCTTCAAATACACTGCTCTTATCTGGCCCGACCTTTGAAGAAAAAAAAAAAAGTAAAAATCTCTGCTCCTACTTATCCTCCCGCTCATCCTCTGCTGGCCTGCGATGACCTAAGCCAAGTAAAGGAGCAGCATAATTACCTCCAGAGGCTCTGTGTTCTACCTCATAGTGGCTGTATTATTGGCTGCAGGAAAGTCACAGTCAAAATCATCAAGGTCCTATCTAAGCCTGGCCCAAAGCCAGGCGGTCCTACCTGATAGTAGACAGCAGACGTCCAGAGACTACGCAGCTCACGAGCTAAATTATGAATTCAAGGAAGCGGATACAGCGTTACAGGGTCACTGACAGTGAGTGAATATTTTAAGGAGGCGGGAAAGAGACGGGATCTGCTCCTGAAGAAGTAGTTTCCATGCATCACCACAGCATGACAATGTGATAAATGGGACTGTACACTTGTACAGAGTTTGCTTGTTGGCTATTTAAACGTGGATATTTGTGCAAGTAAGAGAAAAACAACTGTAATTCCAGTTTCTGGAATTATAATAGAATAACCCCCCCCCCAAAAAATTTTCACACATAAGAATTTTACACCATCAGTTCCCTTCCTCGTGTTCAGCTGGCGTTTGTCTGTTCAGCACCGCAACACTGCCAACAATCAGGAAAAGTAACACTTTAAAATAACAACATTATTCAGTTATTGAAATTTACCAAACCTTTTGATGATGAACCAAATTTCTCCTCATGATTTTGATTTTAAAGAATAAACACTTTGGGGGGGTTTTTCCCCAAAGGAAGGAGTGCTTCGTTTTTTGAAAAGGTAGACTTTAGGTTGTTTATTTCCACAAAGAGATGGCCATACAGCTGAAAACAAAGAATATATTTTATCAAGAATATGAAAGGTATACTACCAGAACATTGGAAAATACAGTAACAAAAAAAAGAAACATTAAGAATAACAAGGTACCCCCTGTAATACTTCTTCTGCAGTAGAACCAATACTTTGAAAGTTCTTGTTTGTACAGATATTACATGACTAAGTATTTTGATCTTTCACAGGGTAAAAAACAAATACACCTGTACAATCAGACTGGATGCCAGTCTTTTGGCTTTGACTCAAAAACAGTTCCAGACCATGAGACAATTGGCCTCCTCCTTTTTATTGAACCAGTCAGGTCATGTCCATTATTTCCAGAAACCCGTCCTCAGGGACAGATCTAATCCCAGAGTTTTATCTGTCCATCCCAGCCACAGGTGATGACCTTGGAGGTTTCATGTGGATGCCACAGGGCGCTGATGCACACCTTGTCATGAGCCTTGATCCTGTGATAAAGCTTGGTGGTTTTCCAGTCCCAGATGTTCAGCTTTCCATCTGCATCTCCTGACACCACATAACTGGTAGAAAGAAACGTGTTTCATAATTAGCACATGGTTATAAAAATAAAGAAATAACTTCTGTCTTCACTTCAGCAGCCAAAAGGTGGGAGTTGGAATTTTTGGTATTTAATCTAGGCAGGGGTTGCAATGTTGCCATGGATACTGAAAGGAAGTGAGGGCACCTGCTCACAGTCGTGGGTGGTGGGTGAGAAGAGGGACAAAAAAGGGTCTTAATGGGCGTTTTGTGTAAAAATAGGAAGATGTCCTGTGAGCTCTCCTAGCGATGGCTGTACGTTTTTTTTTTTTCACCAAGAGTGCTTCATTACCTGGATGCATTTTAAAGCTCAGGATGAGAAACAGCTTACAGAATACAAGCAAAGATATCTCAATATACTGATCATCTGCACAATGGTGCATTTGGACTCAGTTTTTAATTCACCCATTACACTAATAGCAAATTTTTATTCATAAGTACTGTTTAGTATTTACTAGTGGAATATTCTAAAGCTTTAAGCATCTCTACTTTGTGGTTTCTGTCAGAATAAAACTGCCCTTCAGAGTGACATTGTGAAGGCTTACCTCATGTCTGGGGAGAAGTCCACTTGGCATGCATAGCCAGCTACCATGTGGCCCTTGAAGACTTTCTTTTTGTTTAGTCTGAAGCGGTTTTGGGCTCCAAAGATCAAAATCTGGTTGTCCATGGACTGACAGGCGAGCCATTTACCTTAAAAAACAAAACAATAAACCATTGGCCAACTATGCTGCAAAGCACTTGTGCCCTTGATAACACAATACACATTTCTTGCAAAAAAAATCAAAGAGAAAACAAAAGCATTTTTGGATGTTCACATTGAAATTTCAAGGTAATGTTTGAATTCAAATTCAAACGCATATAAACTTTAAAAGTTGTCCCCAAACCTTTTAAATGTATTATTTGCATGATTCTGTACAGCCAAGTGTTTAACAAGCAGCCCCTCAGATCTTCAGTGCGGTATTTTGATGACACTGCTAGCATGCGCTAAACCTGACAGTGCAAAAGCTGTGATCTGGAGGGACATTAACTAACAGCAGCTACACAGTAAATGGTAGAAATTGCCTCATGGCCAAAATTCTTCAAAACAGCAAAACTGGAAATTTGGATTGAAGTGGACAGCCCTTTGAAAAGGGCATGAACTCATCATTCTGCCATCAGTGAATTGGAAAGATTGAGGCAATTTAGGGAAAAAAATAAAATGAGGTTTTGCATCAGTGGCTGCTCAGCAGAGATCTGCTTTAGAGAGCATTTCAGCCCCTGACAATCCAACAGTTTCAACATCACTGCATGATGGTGAGAGGCAGTGCTTTAGTGTCAAAGCATTATACAATTCTCCGCACTTTTTAAAAGTGTACATGAGGAAATTACTAATTCGATCTGAGAAAGAAATGTAGTTCTGGTATGTGTGTCCTCTTTTTACACCACCCCCAGAAAACTTGTCAGCAAATGTCAAATAGAATAAGTGCAGGAGAATGAAAACAACTTGACCAATTTCAGCAGCGTACCGGAGCTCTGTCTGCTTAGTCAACATGAAAAAGAGATGGGGAAGAGCAGAGAGGGGGGGGTTGTATATATGGTGCCAAGTGGGGCTGGGTGCCATTTAGGCTTGAGAGAAAGCTGAATGGTCTCCCACTGAGAGCTCATTCATTATTCACATGCTAAAGATAAACAAACCACGCTGGAACAAATACGAATATTGCCCAAAGGAAGAAGGCAAGTACGAAGAGAACAGGAGGAGAGAAAAAATTAAAAACTGGGGGGGAAAAAATGTAGAAAGGAAAAGAACAAATGAGGACAAAAAAAGGTTTTTGTAGGTTGCCTACAGAGATATTACATAAATTACAATGGAGATGTTTCCATGGATACAAAATGGTAGTGTAATATACTTGGGTGGGGGGCAGATTCTCCTCTGCTAGGTTCTGCTCCATGTGTGGGGAAGAGCTTTACACACAGAACACACGCATTCAAGCAGACACACAGGGTGAAACTGGGAGCAGTGGAGAGAAGCAGCTCAACCAAGGACAGTCCTGGAAACTAATGACTACCAGCCAAAGTTAATCCTGTACTAACAGGCCAGCTTCAACAAGCTATGCTTCATCTGTTAAATTTTGTGATCATGCGTCTACATCCCTACAACAAGCCCAGGCATGAGGGCTAGAGCACATGTTTATGCTCATATGTTTTGGTTATGTCCCAAATTATCCAATTGCTCATGTCCAATACAGAAGAAGTTTTCTAAATTTATTGGAAAATAATATTTCATTGTTACCCCAAATGCAGCCTTTTGTGGCAGGAAGGTTCATCTTCACAAATGGAAGGACAGCGTATTAGTGACATCAGATACTTTTTACAACTTGGGGAGGGGAAAAAAGATGCACTGCTTAAAAAAAGGATCTATTAAATGGTTTTCTGTCTTTGGTGTCAAATATAGAAGCAAAAGATCTGTGATGAATAAGTGGCTTTTAAAAATTCATTTTCTTTTCTTTTGTGTGATCTGACTGTTATCCTTTTTTTCTTTTATCCTGTGATCAGAGCACATTTTTGGTTATATGTGATCACTTTTATATTATAAAAACAAATAAATGCCTTGATCAAGAAAAAAAAAATCACAGTGGAAAATATTACCTTGGCTACTTTTGTGGTAATACTTGATCCATGTTGTATCTCCTATTACACTATGCTGCTGGCACCATGTAGTAATAGATTTACTAAATTCTTTCATCAATGGCTGTAGCTCATTTGGAAAAAACAAAGATGAAAAATGCCCTTTATTTAGTTTGCACTACAAACGCTACTGCCTGCAATCACAGATAAAATGTTACAATTTAAAAAAAGAATCCTGAGTAGTTTTCAGAAAAATTCTCTTATGAAGTGAGACCACAGCAATAACATTACAAATTTTCTTGATATAATTGTGATTTAATTTTGAGGCTTTTATTGCCCACTCCTATTATGTAATCTAAAATTTGTTAACTGGGTCTAATCAACATAACATTTCCTGGCTGCAGCTTATTTACAGTACAGGTAAGAGTACCATAACCTCGGTAATTGGTAAGAATATGAATGGATATATGGATCTCACAGAGTGATACTGCTCTGAAATCTGGCGGCACTGAATGAGGGCATGGTAAAGGTACTTTACACAAAAAGAAATGTAAAATTCAGCAATTACAAAAAAAATTACAGGCTTATAATGGAGTCCTACAACCCTGACCTAAATCTCTACTATCAAAGAAGTAAAAGCTTTGCTCGTGTGGAGAAAGACATCAACAATCAACAATCACATTTTTGCTCCCCATCAGTTTGGAAGGGTTATAAGGCCAAATTGATTTGAAGTCCATAATTCCACAATGAAAAAGTGGAAAACATTACAGTGCCATTAGAAAGAGGGACTGAACAAGTGTGGCTTGCTTGGAAGGGCTGCCCGAAGAAAGACTTGTCTCTAAAATAAACATGGCAGCTGCACTGAGTCCTATGTGTACAAAAGGCCAGCCAGTCGGCAGAACTCACGAACGGAGCCACATCTGCTGAGTAAGATATCAGCATACTGCTGCCGTTTAGCCAATGAGCGGTGAGGCAACCCATTCTCGTGACCTCCTCCATTACACTATGAAAGCCCTCTTTTTCACACGACGGTATGCTAACTGACAGTATACAGTCATACAGCTGTTCATCTTAAAAATAAATAGCATTGGGTGCCAGTGTAGCTCACTGATGGAGCAGTCAACAGGTCCTAGGTTTGAGTCCGACCCATGGCCCTGTGTGTCTTCTCTTGTTCCCTCGCCCCACTTCCCTGTCTAATCTTACTGCTCCAGTGTCCAAAAGGCAAAATTGCTCAAATATTAAACATTTGTTTTGACATCAAATGTACACAGTTTAAGTCACTCAAGTGTCCAAATATTTCTGTTATCCAACAGTTAATGCATTATCTGTGACGATTAAACAGCCAGAGCGAAACACAGGCAGCTGACATGTATTGATAAAAAATCTGGATCTCGTGGCAAGCAGAAATCTCCACGTACAACAAACTTACTACACTGTGAATATCTGTTTTTCCCACCTTGCCTGAGCGATAGCAAATCTCAGAAGGTGTGACTCTACTGTGTGGTAATGCAGGTTTATGCTCCCTCAAGTCGCCTGTCCTTGACTGTGTTTATGAGTGTTTGGCCATGATTAGTCTACTTACCATTGGGAGAGAGAGTCACAGCTGGCATGGAGTGCATACTGGGCTCAGCAATGTACTTAAAGTCCACAGGGATGTCCCTGAAAAAGGCACAAAACACTGTGAGTACACTTGAAGACGGGTTAAACAGTGGATGAGAACAACGTGAGAAGGCCCTTAGCAATAACAG